AAAGTTTATTAAATTGTTTTTCTTGTGTCTTAATTGAAATTTAAAGAAATAAAATCTGATAGTGAATGATGTTTGGTTCATATGGCAACTAATTGGTGATGAACCTTTCACTATTTAAATCCAAACCTCACATTGCATTACTGAAGGATTCTATGGGAATGAAAAAAAAAAAAAAAGACACAGAAAGCATCAAAAAGAAGGAAAGAGTACACAACAGTCACTGTACCAAAAAGAATTGGTTGAGTTCAGCCATTTCAGGAGGTAGCATATGATCAAGAACTGATGATACTGAATGGAAAAATCCAAACTACACTAAAGGCATTGGCAAAAAAAAAAAACAAGTCTGCAGGAATTTACAAAACACAAATTTGAGATGTTTCAACAAATGGAAGCAATGCTAAAAGTGCTCACTTGTCTATGTCAAGATATTTGGAAGACAGCTACCTGGCCAACCAACTAGAAGGGATTCATATTTGTGCCCATTCCAAAGAAGAGTGATCCAACAGAATGCAGAAATTATCAAGCAATATCATTAATATCACATGCAAGTAAAATTTCCTTGAGAATAATTGTTTTTAAAATGGTTACAGTAGTGCATCAGCAGGGAACTGTCAGAAATTCAAGCTGGATTCAGAAGAGAATGTGGGATGAAGGATATCATTGCTGATGTCAGATGGATCCTGGCTGAAAGCAGAGAATACCAGAAAGGTGTTTACCTGTTTTATTGACTATGCAAGGCATTTGACTGTGTGGATATTAACACATTATGGATAAAATTGTGAAGAATGGAAATTCTAGAACACTTAATTGTGTTTATGCAGAACCTGTACATGGACCTACAAGCAAACAGAACAAGGGGATACTGCATGGTATAAAATCACAAAAGGTATGTGTCAGGGTTCTATCCTTTCACCATACTTATTCAGTCTGTATAGCATGCAAATAATCTGAGAAGCTGTATGTACTGTATGAAGAAGAATGTGGCAGCAAGGTTGGAGGAAGACTATTACCAACCTGCGATACACATACAGCCCTATTCACGATAGCAAAGAAATGGAAACAACCTAAGTGCCTATCAGTGGAGGAATGGATAACCAAACTGTGGTACATACACACAATGGAATACTATGCAACTCTGAATAATAATGTAGAATCTGCAGAACACTGCATAATGTAGATGAACCTGGAGGACATTATGCTGAGTGAAATAAGACAATTACAGAAGAACAAATATTGTATTAGTCCACTATTTTATGAAGGAAAGGAAAGGTTTATACATGGAAGGAAACTTCCTTTGTTGGTTACCAGGGATAGGAGGGGAGGGAAGGGAAAATTCCTAGATAGGTTGAATATGTGTGTGTGTGTGTGTGTGTGTGTAGAAACCAAAGATTACTTGTGTTTGCCAGGGGTAGGAGGGAGGGGGAAAGGGAAGCTTTTGTTTGTAGGGCATCAAGTTTATGCTAATGATGGTAGCATATTTTGGAAAAGGGTAGCAATAATGGTGGCACAACATGAAAAATGTCATCAATGTCCCTAAGCTGTAAATGTGGAAGTTGTGATGTTGGTGAATGTCTTGTGTATGTTCTCACCACAATAAAAGTAAAAAACAAAACAAAAACCTGTGATATCCAGATGACACAGCCTTGCTTTCTAAACATGAAGATAACTTGAAGTACTTACTAATGAAGATTAAAGACTACAGTCTGCAGTACGGATTACACCTCAACATAAAATGAAAATCCTCACAACTGGACCAATAAGCAGCAGCAATGGAGAGAAGATTGAAGTTGTCAAAGATTTCATATTACTTGGATCCACAATCAACACCCATGGAAGCAGCAGTCAAGAAATCAAAAGAAGACCACTTTAAAGTGATGAAAAGCAAAGATGTCACTTTGAGGACTAAAGTGTGCCTAACCGAAGTGATAGTATTTTCAATTGCCTCATATGCATGTGAAAGCTGGAAAATGAATAAGGAAAACCAAAGAAGACTTGATGCTTTTGAGTTGTGTTGGCAAAGAAACACTATAGACTGAAAGTATTATGAACTGCCAGAAGAATAAACAAATCTGTCCTGGTACAAGTGCAGCCCAAATGCTCCTTGGAAGCGAGAATGACCAGACTTTGCCTTACCTACTTTGGCCATGTGGTCAGAAGAGACCATTCCCTGGAGATGGATATCATGTTTGGTAAAGAGGAGCGTCAGTGAAAAAGGGGGAGACCCTTGGTGAGATGGATTGATACAGTGGTAGCAGTGATGGGCTCAGGTATAGCAAGGATTGTGAGGATGATGCATGACTGGGCAGTGTTTCATTCTGTTGTACATAGGGTTGCTATGAGTCGTAGCCAACTCCATGGCACCTAACAACAACAGTTAATGATCATTGTTATTACTGTTCTGATAAATTTACTATTTTATATTTTTATTTATAGTTTGGCCCTTGGATAGCCACTATTTTTCTTATAATGTTGCCAAACAAGCAAACCTTGGGTTTTTGTTGCTGTTGATAGATTGAATGGGTTTCAGAAAAGATCTATTGACAAATATTAAATAATAAGTATTTTGGAAGGATTTTATATATATATATATATATATATTTCCTAAAGTGTGTGGTGCTGATATACTTTTGACTGATTTATTGTGTTTATCACTATAGATTGATGAATTTAAAAAAGTCTACGAAAGTAAAAAAATGGTGACTTTCGGGAAGAAGAAAGAATTGGATAAATTAATAATAAGAAGGTCAGAAATAAAACAAACTGTTACTTCTACCACAGTGGTAAGAAAGAATCAATATTGTTCTCTCAAGCCTGACTTGGGCACTGTAAGATATAAGGTCTTAAATAACTAGTAGCAGGTGTTTTAATCATCTCCATGTCATTCTGGGAGAATGTTTTTGGAATGCCAATATTTTCTGACACTTTCTTTAAATTATTATGGTGCAGTTGTGTTTTCTTCTTCTCCAGGAACATGGTGTAAAGAAAGAAGTTTGAAATCCTTCAGATACAAATTTCATTTGATTGTAGAAAATACTATGAAAATGTTGATGGAAAAAAATGCATACAAAATTGGCCAAAGATATTGTATTTGTGTTTAGAACATTTCCATGAGATTGCTTTATTTTACATAACAAAGTAATAACCTGATCCTTAATTCTGTGTGTGGTTTTCTGCTTACACTATATACAGTAAAAGTAACATGGAAAAAAGGCCATTTATCTGTTTAAATTAGAAAATACTAAAGAGCTCTGAAAATTTATTAAAAAACAATTGACAACCTGTATTAAATGTCAGCACTGTGATAAGTATTTTGGAAGGATTATTCTTATTTTAAAGGTAAGAAAACTAAACCTCATGGAGGTGACTATAAGTGAAGTAGTTAATGTTAATACCAGTTCTGTGTTAACTAAACCAGAAACAACTGTTAATCTTCTACCACAGTTAGTTGAATTAACGAATTTTTACTGTATTTCCTCAATGTGTAAAACTATATGGTAAAACAATATAATTGAAATACCAATTTTCTTGGAGATGTTGGTTTAAAGGGTTGATTTTGGCTCTTTTTTTTTTTTTTGGATGTGTGCATTTATTGCTATAAATTGGCCTCTAACCACTGCTTATGCTGTGTTCCAAAGATTTTGGTATGTTGTATTTTCATTCTCATTTGATTCAAGGAATTTTTGAATTTCATTTTTTATTTCTTCTCTTACCCAGTCTTTCTTAAGGATGGTGTTGCTCAGTTTCCATGTGCTTGTTCTTTTCCCACTGATCTTCCTATTGTTGATTTCTAATTTGATAGCATTGTGATCTGAGAAGATGCTTTCCAGTATTTCAGTGTTTTTTAATTTATTAAGGCTTGCTTTATGGCCTAACATCTGATCTATCATGAAGAATGTTCCATGTGCACTGGAAAATAATGTATATTGTGCTGTTGTTGGGTGAAGTACTCTGTAGATGTCTATGAGGTCAAGTTGGTGGATTGTATTGTTTAGTTCTTCTGCATGTTTGTTGAGTTTCTTTCCAGTTGTTCTAGCTTTCATTGAAAGTGGTGTATTAAAGTCTTCCACTATGACTGTGGAGTCATCTATTTGCCCTTTCAACTCTTGTAAAGCCTGATTTATGTATTTTGGAGCTCTTTCATTGGGTCCATAGATATTTATTATGGTTATATCTTCTTGTTCAATTGATCCTTTAATCATTATATAATGTCTTTCCTTGTCTCATATGGTGGTTCTTGTCTTAAAGTCGGTTTGATCAGAAATTAATGTTGCCACTCCTGCTCTTTTTTCGTTGCCATTTGCTTGATATATCTTTTTTCAACTTTTGATTTTTAGTCTATTTTTATCTTTGTCTCTAAGGTGTGTCTCTTGTAGAAAGCATGCTGATGAGTTATGTTTTCTTATTCAGTCTGCAAATCTCCATCTCTTGAGTGGTGCATTTAATCCATTAACATTCATTGTAATTAATGACAAGTATGAATTTGTTGCTGTCATTTTGTTATGTGTTTTTCATGGTGTTTCTGGTTGCTTTGTTCTATATAATTTTCTGTGCTGAGCTCATTCTGTTTATGAATCGTGTTATTGTAACCTTTGTTGCTATTGTTTTAGTGTTTGCTAAATATTTGTGCTTGTCCTCTTTTTTATTGTAATGTGAAGGTTTATTGTTTTTCTTTGAGGTTACCCTGTAATTTATGATATTCTCCCCAAGTTTAGAACAGTCCATTTCTATCTTGCAACTCTCTTGACTTCCTCACCATTTAGAAGTTCTATAACTACACTATTTTCCCCCTCTTTTTGGTTTGTAGTTGTCCTCATTTGCCAACTGATGTCTCTGCTTCCCTGTTTACAATCTTGCAAGCTTATTTTACTTTGGATACTTCCATAGCTGTGTTGGTTTCTGGGTTGTGCCATCTTATGTATTAATG